TTTGTATGTACCCAATAAGAGCTTTAAATTAAAGCAACCAGTGTTGCTTCCTCGGCCGTTCAGAGGTCGTCATCTTCGACATGGGCGACATCGACGCAGGGATCTCAAACGCTTTTTTCTTAACGGCTGGCTCAGGGTTCATGGTTTCGGGCTTGGTTGAAGATGCCTTGTTTGGGACTCAGCTTCCAGGGTTCAGGATGTTCTTCTGAAGCTCCCCCGAACTGCGCTGCCATTCTTTTTCATGCACTGTCATCCTTGACCCCTGGTCTTAGTGTCGCTCTTTTGACAACTCTTCTTGTTAACCTTGCAGTGGCTCTCGTTCGTATTCTCGTTGTTAAATCTTCTCCTTGCTGTCTCCCCGGTCTGGTGCATGAATTTGGCCTTGCACGGCAAGCTTTCAGCTTCGGTTGCTTGCAACATGAATCAAACCGAGGTCTCTTTTCCAAAGCCGCTCTAACGCTTTGCGCCCGTTAGCTTTCAATCCAGGGTGCAAAGCAATCAAGAGCTCCCCAAGCCCCTTAAATCGCAAAGCCTCGGGCTTTGGCCCTGAGCCCTAGAGATCCTAAACGCTTGAACACCAAACCTCATACCTCCAGAGCTGTGGACACCGTCTTACATAGGATCGGAACTAGCTTCTGCTTGATGTATAAGCTTGAACCCCGCCTGCGTGTGCAAGCTATCAAGCTTTCTGTAGGGGTCTCCCTAATTAGACTTCACATGCCCTCAAAACCCTGTTCTGTCCGTTCAAGCACAATTAAATCCCAAGCCATCCAGGACTACGTCCACAGAATCGGCAGAACTGCCCGCGGGCCGTACGGGAAGGGCCATGTCAGCACCCCAGAAATGGGTACACAAACGGGTTTTCAGGCATCCCCTTCAAGGAACCGTTTAAAGAGCCCGTACAGGAACCATTTAAAGAGCCATCGAAGGACTCATTTGAAGAACCCTTTATCTACGGGCTAAGGAGGTACCCTTTAACATTTTGGGGCTTATTTTATTCCTACCATGGACCATAACTTAAAAGGCCAACGTGTTTCTTGCTAGGATACCCAGCCCCTAAGTTATATGGGCTCTATTTATAAGATCCTTATGAGGGCCGTACCAGCTAGAACTAGAAGAGGGCTTTCGCATAGGTTTGCTGTGCTGGAATGTTCGCGGATCCGTCTGTACGCGTTTTGCGGTCATATACGGTGACTACGTGAATGGAATGTGCCAAACGGAACGGAAACCCATCAGGCCGCGATACGTGTCAAGGTTCCATGAATTCTATGTAAGATCACTTGTTACCTGGCTGCCGAAGCATTCGATCATTGCGCAGAAGATCATGTCAAGTTCTGAATTTGGCGTCCCGTGTTGGAGTTTCGCAGTCCTTGGGCAGGCACCTCAAAGCCTACCTGTAGCTTTAAGCAGCTACCCGTACCATACAGGGGCAGCAAGCAGGTCTGAGTAACAAAACATCCCCGGCTTAGTTTTGCTCGAAGTGCTTTCGGGGGTGGTTCGCTGCCACTACGAACATGTGTGCTCAATGCTTGTGGCGCTTGAAACAGATCGCCAAACAATCAGCGGCGCTGAGAATAAGGACTCTACAGAGCGAGCAGCCATGCATTGAAACGTCCTCTGTTCGGCCCAAGACCTTGAATCCTGCATGGGCCAGCTCCAAGAAAAAGTGTACTCCGTAGGTGCCCAAAAAGTCCTAAAGCATCACGGGCAGTCGAAATGGCCTTCGCACTCATTCGGACCTGTGTTCAAGCCCCTCCCCAGTACATAAGGCTTTTGCGTTAGCCTTACACTTTGGCACTTCCTGCCTGCTAGAGTTCCGGTTCTTCAGATCGACATAGTTAATTTTCGTTCCCGGAATCATTCGAAGTCCTAATTTCGAGGCATTGACCTTCTTCGAGTACGATAAGAAGTGGCCCAACCTACCGAGGCCTTTGCCCAAAAGCCCGAGGTTTCGGTGTTGAAGACTTAAGGGTCCTCGTGTTCTAAGTTGGTGGATTCGGGTTTGGGGATTGGGGATTGGTGGAACTTGGGGGGTTTGGGCATGAATCCACATGCAGGAGTGCTTTCTTGGAGGGTTGGTCCTTCGCAACAGGGATCCTCCTGGTTCAAGACAGGGTCTAGTTTCTCTTCGCTGATGCATGCTTGAAGGGCACATCCCTATGTGCTTATGGCTTTCACCCCAATGTCAAAGGGGATATAGCCCATTGTAGGGTAGGGGTCCCCATTAAGGGTCCCTCATTTTCCCCTTTGACAATGATCGCTGCACCCTCCGGGCGACACGAATGGACTGGCACCGTCAGCAGGCGACGCCACAGAAGCCGTCGCGATGTGTATCGCAAAACCCCCTCTTCCTCGCAATTGTCGCATCTCTCGCTGTGTACACCTACACCCTAAACCCCAACAGCAGAGAGCTCTACAGCCCTGTAAGATAGGGGCCTTAACAATGAGAATAGGATTTTGGTGTATGTCTTACTATAATTACAATAAGGGCCCCCCTCGAAAAACAGAGCATAGGTAATTATCAAGACCCCCCATACAGATCCCTTATAGTACCCTTATAGGAACCCTGGAACCTATTCACTATTCTGATTATACCCTGAACCCTGGATTCACCCAGGCAACTGCTGCAAGTGCTGGAAACCTCTGGGCAAGAGGTGCCTGAGACTTGCGTTTTTCAGCTCTTGGCTTCGAGGTCCTCGACCCTGAAGAGCGCTAAGCAGCCCTACCAGACTCTAAGACCCTCAACCTTCAGCCACGAACTCTGAGATGCATTCGAACAAGTGTCTGCTTCTCGTGATAACATATTAAGGTCTACTCTGCTGCATGGCTGGCTAGATGGTTGCAGCACAAAGTCGCTTCACCACAACAGTCACCTGGGTTTGCTGTTCAGAGCAGCACTGTTCTAGTACGTTATAGTGGTGATGGTAGTGGTCCTGGTACTGGTCGTGAAGTGATGCCGGAAATCGTGCTCCTGAGGCTGATCTTGTCGCTGCTCGGTGGCTGATGATTTTGTTGCTGGTGTTGGTTGTGATGGTGCACATTGGTGTGATGATGTCGCCGTCGCCATCACATGATCGAAGAAATGTAGGTCCACGTGTCTATTGAGTCCTCGAGCCAGCTCTGCCTCTGTCTGTGTTTCTAGACAGAGGCTTGGGATTCAGGAGTGTGGGCTTCTTTTTTGTGGGTTTCGTCCGACACTGCGAGCAGGTCCCACGAGACCTCAAAGCTCTGGCGGTTGGCTCGGGTCGTGCCGGGCGTGTTGCGAAGGCTGGAGTGCTTTAGGGCTTTCTTCCCCTGGTCTGACCTTTGCTTAGTAGGGAATGGAGGAATGGGGTTCAATTGTAACTACCATTACTACCATTCTTCCATTCCCTACTAACCGGGGGGCCCGAGGTTTGCTGACGAAGGGAGGTGTTCACACGTTTGACAAAATCAACTGAACTCTAAAGCCCCTGCCGTCCCGTATAGTATCCACTGCCACCGAAATGCCTACGCAGGGCGGATGGAGATGAACTGAGAGGTTAGCGAACAGCCGTTCCCTCTGAGAACGCGCTGACCCGCGAAACATGTGCGGTGCTTGTCTGAGTTTTGTGCCTAGACTGCCAGTACACATCTGTTTTCCAAAGAGTAGTGGTCTCGGTTCCACCAGCTGTGAGTTGCAAAAGCACGGAGTCCGTGGTCAAGGTTCCGCTCGCAATCCTCTTGTGTTATCACGAGTTGCAGAGGTAAACCCGTGGTGTCAGCGCCCGATGGTTGGGCCATCATTCTCTAGCCTCTACGCCAGTGTCCATTACACATGATGCGGCATAGAACTCTTCTCCCCTAGCAGTATACCTAGAGACCTACAGCCTCCGGGCCTATCAGCGCCTTTTGGAGCAGGAGGTTTAACAACGCCTCGTTCTGATCAGCCAGTGTTTAAACCTTGGAGAGTTGTCTTCCAGTATAAACCAGCGGTGGGGCAGAAAGCCTGAAATTCATGTCCAAGGTCCTAGACTCAAAGTCGCAAGCCCGCAGCAGTTTCGTGCCAGATCAGCTGGGGAATGTACAAATGTGCAGCATGCTGCTCGAACGAGCATCTGCTGCCATAGAGCAGGCTGCAGCTTATGGCGAGGTCATGTGTCCTCTGCAACAGATTTGCGCCGTGGAATGCCATCATTCATGGCACCTTGTCCAGCGTCGACAAGGCTTGGAAGGACAACATCCTCGGCATGAAAGGACACTCGTAGCAACTTCGGACACAAAGGCCATCCCTCCTGTGCCCTGGTACAGGCAGCTGGTACTAGTACCCCTTGGTACCTAAACCCTAAACTTAAACCCGTCGTATGTACCGTTGCATGGTACAGGGATACCGTAGCCCTAAGCTCTAACTCAGAACATACTGTCGGACTGTTTCGACCAGTCCTCACGAGCCAAATCATGAAGCTCTATAGTCGTACTGGTGATGCCTTGTCGACGTTGTTGGCTGGGACGGCCGTGCCTCCTCAATGCACGAGGTGGCCCGGAATCCGCATTCTCCCTTTTTTGGGGGGCCCTGAGCTGGCCTAGTGCTCCAGGGCGGAGGGCTTAGGGTATCTACTGTAGTAGGGACCAGTACTGGTCCTGAGGAGAACCCGCCTTTGCAGTGCAAGGGTTGCGGTCCTGCGCAGTGCTGCTTGTGACAGGGTTTCCGAAGGGTTCTTGTTTGCTCCGGTACCGGGCCTGACGTGGTGCTAACACCCGGCACGTGCGAACCATGTGCTCCTGCTTGAGTGTAAAGCGCGCTGCTTCACAAGAGGAGGTGATCCTGCAGGTGTCGACTGACTGCTTGCGGGCTATGTGAAAATCTTGTGATGCCGAGGACTGCACCGGTGATTCTACGCAATGCTTCGTTGCAAGTGTTTGTGTGCACCTTCGTCAGCTTATCGCAAATATGTTCTCGAGCTTGGGGCTACATTGTGACAGCATGCAATGTAGACATGAGCCCTAGGTCGTTGCTGACCTGCATTCCACTGTCACACGAGGCGAAGGTCCTGCAATCGCGTGTCAGCGACTTGGAGGTGCAGAGCTGTTTTTTCCGAGGTTTCTTGATAGTTCATGATGAGAAGCAAACTACCACGCCAAGCCACTTTAGAAACCCGAGACGGTAGACTCCGCAATCCGAGTTGTGACCGCAGACTCCTTGGATTCTCCACCTGGGGGGTTTCCGAAAATAGGGGACCCTAATATAGTAGACTGAATACTAAGAGCCTTATTATAAGGACTCCACCGCACCCTCTCCCCACCACATGTTGCTCTTCACCTCCGTCGTGCTTTTGTTTTCATGCGGATGATGTTTTAGAGTTGCATTACTGCTAGGGCTATGTGTAACATGTATGCCTTTATGTATGTGTGTATGTATGGATGTATGGCTATACGCATGCATGGATGTATGGATGTATGGATGGATGTATGGATGTATGGATGTATGGTTGTATGGACGGACGTATGGACGTATGGACGGATGGATAGATCGATGCATGGATGGATGGATGGATGGATGGATGGATGGATGGCTGGGTGGGTGGGTGGGTGGATGGGTGGGTGGGTGGGTGGGTGGGTGGATGGGTGGGTGGGTGGATGGATGGATGGATGGATGGAGAACTTATGAATGCTTGCTTTCTTGCTTTCTCGTTCGTTGTTTCTTCGTCAGCCATCCTGCTCTACCGGTTACGGAAGGATGCCATATCGTCTACGTTTTAGTCGTGGCCGGCCAGGCCAGCGTGGAGCAGCTGCAACAAGAGGCCGAAGCAACTTGGGATCCCTGCGCAGCAAGCTTTTTCGTCGCATGTAACAAGCGAGTATAGTATTTTGGGCAGAGCCTTTCATCCTGATCTTTTCCGGCTGAATGCAGGTAGCCGCAATCGCGCGCCTGCGCGAGGCTGCTCGAATCAAGATTTCCAGGGATTTAGATGAAGTAGAAACTTCAAGCTGGTTCCTTTAAGTTTTCGGGTCCTGCCTGTGTAAGATTTCGGTTCCTGCGGCCTTCTACAATGAGTGCGCCCGAACCCCAAACGCTCAGAGACTTGCGCCAAATCTGTCTCGCAGGTAATTCGGGAGCATAGATCATTGGAAGCAGTATCCATTTCGTTGATCACTCATCCACAACCAACGCCTGATTGACGAACCCCGCTCCCTTAGTAAGGATTGGTCCCACCGCTGAAACACTTAAAGACAGGATGTTTTAATCATGAAGGTGAGAATCGACTGTGCCCCGAACGCTGTTACTCCGCTTACTGGGTCTCGGTATCGCCTTGACACTTCCGAGCCCGAATTCAAAAGACCTGAAAACATATCAACTGGGAGCCTCGGATAGACGGCCCTTTATATGGACCCAAAGCAGGAGGGTTTGGGATACGTCGAAAATCCCAAGCCAGAATCCCGAAGCCCTGAATGTCAAACCCTATGTAGATGTTAAGCCGCAAACCCTAAACCCCGTAAACTCTCCGAAGCAAAAAAACTAAAAAAACTAAAACCCTAAACCCCTAAAGATTAGACCCTCTACCGTAAACCTGACAGCCCCGAATCTCTACATGGGGCCTGTCTTGGTCATCTGAAGGACCTCGCCCGCGCGGAGTCCTTGGCTTCGGAGCGGGAGGCACTCTAAACCTTGTTTTCTGAACCCTGTTTTCCTGTCCCTAAACCAAGGGCGAGCATCGGAAGTTGTGTAGGCCTGTGTTCAGGTCTTCGTCAGGGATTTGGGGGCTTTGAGGGTCTTTAGGCTTTGAGGTTTTTGTTCTTTGGCCGGGGGGTGGGGGTGAGGTTTGGGGGGCTTCAGGGAGTTTAGGGTTGGGGACCAAGAACACTGGCCAAGGATTACTCAGAGGCAGCACTGTTGGGGTTTCTCAACAGCGATGAGGGATCAGGGGTTCAAGTTTTGAGGTTCAGGGAGCTTGCGGTGCATGACTCCGTGTTGCACGGTTCGGTATTTCCCGAAACAGTTTCAGATTCTGCGATGAGCGGCTCTCCAGGTTTGAGAGTTGATCTCGTGCAGATTTGTCTCCGTAGTTGTCTTCATCCTCACTTCTTCTTGAGTTTTTGCGCTTATAGAAATATTTCGGGTTGTAGGGTTGTGGATGAAGTCTTGTCGGTTTAAGAGGTTAGGAGACTGGGCACTCCCAGCATCATCTTTACTTCCGCAATGCCCTCCCAACCCCTACTAAACTTAGTTACTAAACTCTAAACCGTAAACCCAAAACCCTAAAACCCTAAAACCCTAAACCACCTATACCCTAAACCCATTGAGCCCGACACTCCACGTTGCGCCCTGACGACCTTACCTTTGGGTAGTAGGGAATGGAAGAATGGTAGTAATAGTAGTTATAATTGGACCCCCTTCCTCCATTCCCTACTAACCCAAGGTAAGCTTAATATAGCTATTAGATACCCATTATATAGCCATTATAAGGTAGGGGTCCCCATTAAGGGTCCGTATAGTACCATTCCCTACTAACCAAAGGTAAGTGACTGCAGAGGCGGCCCTGCGTGCAGCGCAGCGCCGGGAAGAGCAGCTGAACGAGCAGGTGTCGGGGTTCACGATAGGGGCCGAAAGAGCTTACCAATACTCTTTTTGGGGGTTCCTTATCATAATTACAGTATAGTGGGGCCCCGATATTTGGGTCTGAATCTCTTTAGGACGGATGTTGGTTTGGGGAGTTTAAGCTTCACCTCGTTGTGCGAGAACCTCGCTTCGGAGGTGCTTTGGCCTTTCGATTCTCGTGGAGTCGAGGTACTTCCGGTGTTTTGATGTTTTCGATCATCTGTGTGTGGAACTGTTTGAGACTTGAGGTGAGAATGGTGAGCAAGGGCGTTGTGAGGGCTCGTAAAGGGGCCTTAACAATTGGAACAGGGTTTTGGGGGTGCCTTGCAATAACTGTAGTATGGTATCCCCAAACCCTTCTTTTATTCATTAAGGGCCCTATACAGATCCCAGCTAGAACCCTAAAGGAACCCTTATGATACCCTTTGAAACGAACCCTACTCTATTAATTCCTAGCTTCCGGGCGTCTTCGAGCCTCAACCCCCAGGTCTGGCACACTCCTTCACCCTGATTCATAAAAAGCCCTAGGAGGTCTACAACCAGGGGCCTTTATAGCTAGAGTAGGGTTGCAGAGCATATTATAGCGTAGTTATAACAAGGAGCCCTTAAAATCGTATAGGCAAGTATTTAGGCCCCTGTATGAATCCCTAAGCCCGAGACCATCCCGAGACCCGGTTTTGTTGGGAAGCCAGATCAGGCAGCGCAGCAGCAGTCGCGAGCCGACAGCGTCCTGCAGCTCAGACGGTTTAGGGTTTAGGGTTTAGGGTTGTCCACGGTTTGTGGTGGCTTGGGGCTTGTGGGTAGAGGAGGGTGGAGTGGAAGGGGTGAAGAATTTGGAGTCACATGTTTCTGCTTGAGGGTTTCAGTCAGGGGTATTGACACGGTTGGATGGGGATTTCACCTGGCTTTGGAGTACCATACTTGAATACTTTTTTTGGTACCTGTTCCTTAAAGGAACCATTATGAAATAAAAGTCTATGCTTTTTTCTCCCTGGTTACTCCAAAGTCCAGTATTCAAGAACGTTTGGGACTTCTCTGGGCTTGGAGACTGCCAGGCCGTGCTGGGGAGTCTGGGTCCGCTTTCGAGTTGTGGGTGGAAGTGTATTATAGTACCCTTATAGGTCCCTTATAGTAACCCTTAAAGACCCCTGTAAAGGAGCCCTAATGAAGACCCGGGCATGCCAGTTCTGTCGAAGCTTCCGGCCTCGCCTTTTAGCATGAAGAGGGTCATACAACGCGGATCTTCGATGCTCGAGGTTTGGCACGAGCTGGTAGACCCCTCCCTGTACTAAAATGTCCCTTTCAGCGCGAAGGCATGAAATGCACAGCCCAGAGCCCAAGAGAGAGTCGTGCAATCCTGTAAACCCGACCAAACACCCCGTGATAGCATCATCAAGAACTGCACAAACATCCAACATCGTTTACGACAACAAGCTCTCTGCCTCATGAAACCCCGTCAGCATGCCTAACAATGTAAAACATTCCTCCAAAGCATACTTCACACAAGCATTACAAAACCCTAGGATCAACCCTAAATCCTCAAAGCATACCTCCCAAAATTCATGTACAAAGAACCACCCTAAACCCTAAACCCCTAAGCCCTAAACCCTCGACCCTAAACCCCTCGCCACTTCTGCGACGAGAGGCTCAAGCCTCGCTTCTGTCGGCCACGGCCTCAGTAGCTCAGTAGCCGCTGCTGCTTCGGGTACTATACGGACCCTTAATGGGGACCTCTGCCTTATAATGGCTATATAATGGGTATCTAATAGCTATATTAAGCTTACCTTTGGTTAGTAGGTAATGGAGGAATGCGGTAGAATTATATCTACTATTACTACCATTCTTCCATTCCCTACTGACCAAAGGTATGTATACTACCTTTAAACGCTGTAGTGCCCGAGGGGCAAGGGTTAATTTGTAGACTACATTTCAGGGGTTTGGCTTTAGGGTACTTATCCAGGGGTTTACGAATCAAGAAATCCGAGGAGAAGTCCAGTGTCCAGCGATTGGAGTCCGACCTACAAGCAGCGCGGGCCGCACAAGCGTCGGTGATGCTGCCACCTTACAAGAGTTGACAGGTGTCTGTAGGGCTTTCTTTCGAGCAGGGTTCAGGCACAATGTGCAGAGATGGCGGCTCAGGCTAGAGCTTTTGGGTCTGGAGTTTAGTGCAGCCATTTATCGTTGGTTTCTATCATGGATGAGAATATGGCGTGTCAATAAGTAGCTGTGGAAATTGCCCAGTGACATGTTAAAGTTTATGAGCACGCACATCCACCAAAAGTAATCTCTTCTGTACCATATCGGGTCAACGATCGGCCTTGGGTGGTCGAAGCTTTTTTCAGTTGGTGCTTCGAGAGCCGAGCTGTGAGTTGTTACGGTTGAAACGCATCAGATCGCTACGGTGTACATTGGGTTTGGAGAATTCTTGGATGCTGGTCTTAGGTGTGCTGTTTTTGGGGTCCTTCTTCCTGGACCCCCTCGCCCAGTGTCATTCCAACCCCCTAAGCTGATCAGAACTCCAGCCTTCGCATCAGTTTGGTGTCACTGCTGATAGCAGTAGGAACGCCAACGTGGTCGACAGCAGCTGCGATTAATATGCCAGGAGCAGCCGGGGCAGAGGGCTGCCTAACACAGGGGCCTGAATAATTACATTTAGTGGTTCACAGGGTTCCTGACTCATTAGACATTTACTATAGTATGCTTCAAAATCCCATTCTATTTGTTCAGGCCTCTACATTACATAGCACTGGCACCGATGATCGATTCAGCAACAACCTCGGCGGGATGCACAGAATCACGGCAGGCACGTGCAGAGCTGGAGCGTGTCATCTGCCAGGAAGAGGCCATTGCTTTGCTTGGGGCATGCCTCGGAAGTTCCGTAAAATGTTCGTATAGGTGCAATAGAATGCTTATTGGGTTGGATGGTTCGTATGTACACACAGAGTAGCAGCACTGTCCCTCTTGAAGAGCTGGAACAACGTGATCAGTATCATGCTATGGCACGAGGTTCGGCTCTCTACTGTCTGCGAGGGCGGATGAAGACTACTTGGCTGTCCATCGTGGCTTCTCGGCCTTTCGTATGCACAAACTCAGATGTTGATCCCGATGATGCTGACTTGCTGTTGTTACTGTGTCCATGTGTCTTAAAGTGAAAGTGAATTAATTAAGTGAACCTATGAAAAGTACAGCTGACATGACCTTTGCACACAGAGTCCGAGGCAAAAGGGCCTTTCACATAAGATCGCGCGGTGCTTGAGATCAGTGAACTAGTCTCGAAAAGAACACCGTAACCACGGAGTCCCCAGTCAGCAAGATGGCCAGCTCCGCTTCGCAGGCATCGCGGGCAGAGCTGCTTCAGCGAGCCGACAAGAAGGCATCCCGACATTTCTTTCGTGGAAGGTTCGCCGCGTTTTGGCGGAAGTGTCGAGGTTTCAAAGGTACAGCTGTGCATTGGCGAATTGCTTGGGAACTTCGAAGCTGCATGTGCTGCATGAACGTTTCTGCCTCAGATCCTTCAGCTTGAAGACAGCCCCCATCTGTCCGAGTTTGCTCACATGTTGCGCTTGCGCTGTTGGTGATTTTGGGTGTTGGGCTTCGGCTCAGGACTTCAAATAGCAATATTCACAACAGCAATATTACAGCTTACCGCACACCACGACCTCCTACTTCTACGCTGCTGCTGCTCCTCCTCCTGCTACTACTACGACGACGACAATTACTGTTACTACTACTACTACTACTACTACTACTACTACTGCTACTGCTACTGCTACTGCTACTGCTACTGCTACTGCTACTGCTACTGCTACTGCTACTGCTACTGCTGCTGCTACTGCTACTGCTTCTACTAAACTAGTACTTGCAGACTGCGTGTCTCATCTGTCTAATCACTGCTTTCTTGTTTGTGTTGTGTTGCTAGTAGTTTTTTCCGTACTGACAAGTGTTCGAGTACCATGAGTGATCCGCTTGCTGCACTGTGGCCATTGTGTCCGACGCATTTCGTACTAGGGTCGAGGGGGTGCAGGGTCAGACAAGGTTTAGCACTTCACAGTGGCCGGCTCGGATTGATCACTCAATATTCCAGGATGCAGGTTGCTCGCTGTCATATCTCATAAGTCATAGGGCACCACTCCGGCCCGAAGATAAATGCAAACCCAAAACGCTAAACCGGGGCTCCTGACCTGTCAACTCTACAAACAGACAGGTCACTTTAAACCTCAAACACCAATCCAAGGGTAAAAGGAGGGACCCTCAATAAGGACCCCTAGGTATATACCCTTAATATAGCGATTATATACCCATTATATAGCCCATTATAGGGTAGGGATCCCCATTGAGGGTCCCTCCTTTTCCCCTTGAAACCAAGCCCGACATCAAACATGTTCTCGAGGCAGCTGCCGAGGGGCTGCGTCTCAGCGCTGAGATCGAACGCCTCGAGGATCAGCTGCAGCCGGGAACCCGAATCCCCGTTCAGGATTCAGGGTGTAATTTAGGAGCCTTAATAATTAGAATTGGGTTTTTGATTCATAATCTGGAACCCCAAAATCGTATTGGTAATTATTTAGGCCCCTATAGTAGCTGGTTCGGAGATCGGTTTCCACTGCCCCGTGCGCCCCTAGGCAGCTGACGCAGCAACTGGGCCAAAAACACCGCTCCTCGGCGGAGCCTCTCGGCCGGAAGGATTTGATTCTGTGTCTTCTCGGAGGATGGGCCGTGTCTGTTTATCCTCAGCTTCGCGGTACTGCATCCAGCGGTATCTTGTGCTGTAAGGGTGAAGTAGTTGTTGTGTGATGTTTCTAGATGTTGCGCACACTGACACTCTGTTTATGTCCATGTGTTGGTTCTTTTTTGTTTTTTTTTCTCTCTCTCGCTCTCTCTCTATCTCTCTTTCTATATATGTGCATATAAGCTAGCAAGCACGCGTAGACAAGAACATATAAAGCAC